AGGTTAGAGAGTGTAAATCTGAGGAAAGACCTACGATGTGACACTTTCTGAAACAATCTAATTGAGAAATTGGAAAAAAAGAAAAAAAACATTTGTCGCTTCTTTATCGAGTTAAGTTGTGACCACAAGTGAAACCTTAGGAGAATGTGATTGGAAATGCTGCGAAGAAAAGAGATAGTGTATGGTGAACGTTTCTGCCACTTTCTCGACCTCTCAGAAGCTCTATATAATTCCACAGTGATTAATTAACTCGAGAGAAACAGGAAAACAAATGTTTCCAGTCTGGCTTAGAAAAACCTGCCATTGAAAGAGAGGAGAAACTTACTCATTTATAGCGATCTTTCTCTTTGCTTGCATCGTCATCACGTGAACAGCTCGTGCTTGTTCTGTGCTTCTGCAGAAGTACAGCTTTCATCGCGCCCTTTCTTATAGGATGCTTTCTTAATAGGAATGTGAAGACTTTACCAGGATTAGGATGAGGATGTGCCCAATGAATAAGACAAATACGCAATTTCGAGCTTCGGCACACAAGTCATGAGCGATAAAAAACACCAAACAGTCGAGAACTCTGTATTGTTGCTGCTCCTGCCTATTGTTGTTATTTTTGTCGTTGTCNCTATGCTCGGTATTTTTCTAGTAATTACAATGATGTTCTCTGATTGACATTTCAAACCAGTTAAGATGAAAACAACTTCGACAAGCTCTATCAGCATTGTTGTTGATGATGTTATCTGCAAGTTAATATCCTGCGTGGGACATCAAGGCTAAGTTTAATGAGGCATTAATACAAATAATGACCTACTTATCTGGGAAAATAACGCGAAATTGTTTACTCAAATCATGATTTTGTTGTTGATTCGAAAATAATTTAAGGTTGCACTGCCATGTTGCATAGCAACAAACTTGACCCATTCTTTACCAACTCCGTCATGCAGTCACATCCTAAAAATAAAACTTGTTCTGCAGTTAAATGCTGGAGAGAAGCGGATACATCTGTATAGAGCAGAATGATATGGCGTGTGCACGTGCTTCAAAATGTTAGGTAACCAGGCAACGATAACGGACACGTGAATACAACGTAAGTTATTTTTGTACGTAAAACATATCGTGGATGTTGGATTTTGTTTCTCAAGGTTAGAAGATTTTTTGACAATTTTCATAAGACCAACAATGACACTTCTACACCTAA